TTTTATTCCTTTCAGGCCAAGATGGCTAACTGAAAAAAACCAATGTTAGTATTTTAAAATCACTAACAAAAGAGAATTTCATGGGGAGTAGCAGATTTAGAAAAAAAGGAAGAAGTTACAGCAACTGAAGTAACTGTTAAACTTATTTCTGCTCCCTCTTTCTGCTACTGGCATGAAAGACTGCAAATAGAAATGGAAACGCTAATTACTGAAGACATTACACTTCTGAAACTAATCAAACACTCTCTGGTTAAAAGCATAAGATCCTTAACCACACATAATCAAATACAAGACCAATTCAACATGGGAATATGAGGGATGAAGAGGCAGAAAAGAGAAGGAAAAGAGTTAAGTTACTGCACAGTGGGAAAAAAGCTAAACAGGCCTAAGAGCAGAAATTAACAATTTTTCAAAATACTAGTTTGATAAGCAGCTGCAATGAAAGGCTAAGGTGATGCCAAAGAAAGAAAGTAGGAGGAAATCAATAAGCTTTCTTTGAAAAGTGGTCAGCAAGCATGTTACACGGAACAATAACGAGGACCTAGGGTTAGCGATCAAATTGCAATGTTCACTGAGTCTGACAGCCTGTCTCTGGGAGAGAATTTTTTCATCACATCCAGAAATAAACATAATGTCTAAGGTGAATTTTTGTTCCCAGGTGTTACATACTTGCAAAATATTCAAATTAAGATAGGAAAAAAGACTCAGAATCTCTTGGAAAAAAACAATAAGCACTAAGGATTTCCCAGGAAATCCTGTTTACCACTGAAATGCTCAATTAACTTACCTAATGAAAGAACTCTCTTAATTTCTAAAGCATTTCCACATTATCAATAATAAGCAAGATTTTATGGCTTACATACAACTAATTTTAAACAAAATTTTACAGAGAAAGAGAGTTTTCAAGAAACACAGTATGGTGAAAAGGTTTCTGGATTTCAAATACAGAAGACATTTTAAAAAAAATACTGGCTTTTCTACTTATGACCTGGGTGACCTCAGGAAACTCAGGCCTAAATTTTCTCATCTATAAAATGGAGGGATGAAGAGGGTAAGGGGATGGGAAGTTAGACTAAATAATCTCAAAGATTATATATCTAGACAATCTTTAAGGTCTCTGCCACTGTAAATACTATGAACAAAACATATTATTTCACTGATTTTCCTAACAACTTTGTGAGGAACATAGGACAAGTATCATTCCCATTTTAAACATGAGGAAATCAAAGTTCAGAGATGTTAGATGATGTGCCCACAATTATAGGGCTAATAAGCAGTATTTGGGATTCAAATCTAGATTTCCCTACTCCAAATTTAGCATTCCTCTACTTTGTCATGGTGCATTCAGACCTCAACAAGATCTTGCTGTTTAGCTTGCCATGATATGATCCTTACAAATGTCATATTTTACTCACGCCATCCTCCTCTTTTTTTCCTGGTCCTGCAAGATCTTAGATTTAGGACAGTACTCTTCACATAGTAGGCAAACAACGTTGTATGTTAATTTACTGTAATGTGGTAGGTTCAATTATTATATGCCAACTCTACCGCCTACTTACTTTTATTGTTATGGGTTTCTCTTTACAGTAAACCATCAAAATTTTATGAACGAGGGCTACATCTCCTTTAGTCAAACGCTAAAAAAGAAAACTGAATGTGGATTTTAAAACAATACACATTTCCTAAAAGTCTTTCATAAAGCAATTTAACATGCTTGTTCTCAGGCTTTAAGTATGCTAAGAATAATACCCATAACAATAATGGCACAAGGCTAGGCTGATTAATGTTTAAAAAAAATGAGAAGTATAAATGGCATCTGAAGATGTTGACTATACTTTGTTAGAATCACTAAATCTCAGAGTTGGAAGGAACCTCAGAGGCCTATGTATCTGCTGAGTAATTCCTTCAGACAACAACAGCCCAAACAAGCTATCATCTAGCTTTAGGGATACCACCAAATTATTATATATCGTGGACTGCTGAAGCTATTTTTAAACTATATATTCTAAGGCTTTTCCTTAATGATTATAAAATATTTATGTTTAACCGTACAAGTGTATTTTCTGGGGAAGTATTGATTTTTTTCTACTTCTGCTTCACTGACTACCCTAAAGCCTTTAACTGTGCAGATCACAACAAAATGTGGCAGGTCCTCAAAGATATGCAAGTATCAGATCATCTTACTTGTGTCCTGAGGAACCTGTATGCAGGCCAACAAGCAACAGTTAGAATGGAACATGGAACAATTGACTGGATTAAGACTAGAAAAGCAATACAACAAGGCTGTATATCATCACCTTATTTTTTATTTATTTGCAGAGTACATCACACAAAACTACAGGCTAGACAAATCAAAAGCCAGAATTAAGGTTGTCTGGAGAAATATCAACAATCTCAGATATGCAGATGATACCCTGATGGCAGAAAGTGAAGAAGAATTAAGAAGCTCCTTGATGAGAGTAAAAGAAGAGAGTGTAAAAGCTGGCTTGAAGCTTAACATTAAAAAAAATAAGATCATGACAACTGCTCTCATTACTTCCCGGCAACAAAAGGAGAAGAAACGAAAGCATTGTTACATTTTACATTCCTGACAGCGACTGTAGTTGTAAAATTAAAAGACACTTGTTCCTTGGAAGAAAAAGCTATGGCAAATCTGGACAGCATACTGAAAAGTATAGACATCACCTTGCCCATAAAAGTCCATATAGTCAAAGTTATGGTTTTTCTAGTAGTAACATATGGCTGTGAGACTTGGATTATAAGGAAAGCTGAGCACTGCAGGATTGTCAATTTTGAATTGTGGTGCTGGAAAAGACTTTCGAGAGCCTTCTACACAGCAAGAAGATCAAATTAGTCAATGCTTTAAAAAATTAATACTTACTGGAAGGACAAATACTGAAGCTAAAGTTTATATACTTTGGCCACATAATGAGAAGACAGGACTCATGACCCTGAAGCTGGGAAAGATTGTAGGCAAAAGAGGAGACGGTTGAGGACGAGATAGATAGTGTCAAGGAAGCAAGAAGACCTTGGACAGACTTCGGGAGACAATGAATCATAGAAGGGCCTGGCATCCTATGGTCCATGGGGTCACAAAGAATTAGATATGTCTGAATGATGAACAACTGATTTTTCTAATAACTTTTATAATTTTCTAGTGACATTTATTATATGTTTCAGTGACCCTAAATCGTTAAAACAAGTTTGATAAGGTGTCTTTACAATTAATCAGCCTATTTACCTATCTTCTCCTCATCAGAAATTTGCTCCTTTAAATTCCATAGCACCACATAATTTCAGGCAGTTAGTATGTGGCAGCACAAGCTATAAAGAATCTTTATCAAGACATAAATAATCTGGATTCAGACATTTTAAACTATCTAATCAAAGTGGTTATCTGTTTCACCATATATCACCATGGGTAAGCTTAAGAATGTGATGATATAAAAAAGTTCATCCTGAAAACATAAAAAATCCATTAAAATTCCAAGTGTGAATGCCAGCTTTGATGTGAGTAAGCCTATTTAACCTCTATTCTATTTAACTTCCTCTGCTAACAGTAAGTTTGGTACCTCATAAAGCCTAAGATGGGGTGCAGAACCTGTAGTCTCAAGGCCACATGTGGCCCTCTAGGTCTTCAAGTGCAGCCCTTTGACTGAATCCAAACTTCACAGAATAAATCCCCTTAATAAAAGTATTTGTTCTGTAAAACCTGGACCCAATCAAAAGTCTGCACCCAAGGACCTAGAAGGCCATATGTGGCCTCGAGGCTGCAGGTTCCCAACCCTGGCCTAAGCAGTACAACTACATGAATCAACATGGAAGAAAAGTGACAAGTCTGAGTGCAAAGCAAAGTTTAAAAGATGTATTTCATCATACCCAGAGATAATTTGATGGTGAGCCAATAAGAAAAGAAGTGATTGGAAATTTTTTTAGGTAAAGATGACTAGGATAAAAGGATGAACAAAAAAAGATCAGATATGAAGTAATTATAGCAATTGACTTATTTTTAACTATTTGCGTCTTCTTTAGGGAAGATTATTTTTTTCCCCACAACACACAGATTCCGTATTTTCTCAACTAGCTATTTATGTGCACTGGCATATACAATACAACTCTAGCAAGAAAATAAGATGATTCATCAGGTGTCACAGTGGTAAGGTAGTGAGTAGACCAACACAGTCTGTTCTTACAACAAAGAGGATTGCAGGGGAGAAAGGACACACAGAAGCAGCCTGAGTTAATGTAAAGAGTGCTGAACTCAGATTCAGTCAGACAAGGTCAAATACTACCTTTGTAGCTGAGGATCAAATGATCCTCACGTACACTGCTTTGTAAATCTTAAAGCACTACATAAATATAATTTTTTTTAAAGCAATGAGCAGGTATTGCTAATTACCTATAATGTACCTAGCACTGAGGAGCATAAAACTTGTTTTTGAAGATGATGTCATTTAAGGTGAGAGACATGAACCAAATCTTGAAGAAGATGTAGAATTTGTTCATAGAGGGGAAGCAGGGCATTTTAGACCAGGGAAAAGACAAAAAACATGAGCTCCTTAATGGCAGGAACCCCTGTTTGTTTTTGTATACCCTTGCACAAAACAAATGTTTAACAAACACTTACTGAAATTAAAAAAAGGAAAGAGCAGAGCAATTAGAATGACTGGAGTGGAAGGTTAATGTGGGGAAGTAATGGACCTTAACTGAACTTTGTATCTTCCCCAACACTATACTGAAGAAATAATAGGTGCTTAACATTTCTAAAATCTGAATTTTCTCTGGCCCCTGAACAGGTAAAGGACTTTAAACTACATACTATAAACTGGATTCCTGTGTGGTGGCACCTTCATGAATCTGTGTCACAGTATACCCACAATAATCATTCCTGCAATCCTTTCTTATGTTACTTAAGCTGCTACTTATTGTGGCTTTTCACCCATAAAGATGATGCTCATTCATTATAGATTATCTAAGAAAAAGATATTGTTCAGACTTACCATCTTTGTTTAGTCGCTGCTTTCTTTGCCTGTAGAGGAGAAGCTTGTTGTGGACATATGGCAAAAGAAACTTGACACACCAACTTTCCACACCAAGTTTATTTTCAACCAAGACTATTGGACTCCGGTTGTACCGAGCTTCAGGACAGGGAATTAGTCCTATTTCATCTCTTAACACGAAAAATACATGAGAGTTAATGGTATGCTATAGTTTTATAATTAGAATTGTTTTAAATATATACAAATACACAGCAAGTTGAAAAACATTTTTGTCATTTAAAAATACAGCTGACATAATAGCTTATTAATAATATAAAAGCTTAACATGTTATATATGTATCAGCTATATATTAATGATAAAAAAGATTACTTTATAAACACAAAGAGCAGAAAAGATTGTATATAAAAATGTGAATATTATATACCTAAATAAAGAGGAATACTGAGTTTCTCCCATTTTTTCCTCACTTCTCCCTTAGTATATTTTTAACTTCCATTTCTTGTTATTCCCCTCTTAAAACCATTAAATGGAACAAATCCACCACAAGCTCTGTATTTGTCTTTCTTCAATCTTTATAACACCCAAAGACAGTAAGATTCTAAATGGACCCTTGTCTCTTCTCCCCAGTTAGGAGAAAGCAACTTATCATTACTTAGCCCTGTCCAATTACTCAAATGTATTTGCTTTCCTAGATTTCTCTTCTCCTCTACACTTCAAGATCTAGCCAATTCTGGTCTTTACATACAGAATGCTTTAAAGTCTCCAGTCTTATTAAACATTAATTTTCCTCCCATAGGATTATACTAGTTTTGCTGGTAAAATTATTCTTGATTTTATCTTTTGTAATATCCTATTCTAAAATTTTCTCTCCTTTAAAATATTTTGCATGATAATACTGTGTGATCCAGATTGTAGTTTCTTAATACTAACATTTTTTCTTTCTTGGCTTCTTTAAGTATTTTTTGATTCGACCTGGAAGCTCTGGATTTTGGCTGTAACATTCCTGGATATTTTCAGTTTGGGGTTTCTTTCAAGAAGACTGGTGGATTTTTTTTCTATTTCTTCTAGTAACTCTGGTATTTATTAACTTATTTTGTATTTCTGATGTCTTGAAATATGGTAAGCAGATTTTTTTGGTTATGGTTTCACAGAAATGTGATACTTCTCAAATTATCTCTCCCTGACTTGTTTTTCAGGCCAGTTTTGTTCTTCCATTTTTTCAGTCTTTTGACTTCTCCAGTATTTGTTATCTCATGGAATCACAGAATTCTATTTGTTCTAGACTTTTTTTTTTCCCAAGGAGTCCACCTCTTAGATGGAGTTTTCCACTTTCTGTTCTAAGTTATTCTCCTTTCAATTTTTTTCTCCCAGAGCTATAATTTCAATTGCTTCATTTCTTTTAACTGCTTCTTGAGCTCTTGTGACCAAGTCATTCTTTTCTCCGAAGCTCTGTTTTGACATGTTGTGAAATTACTTTCTACTCTTAGGCTTTTCAACCCACAATATTTCTTCATAGTATTTGCATTTTCTTCTACTTATTCATTATTTCTAGCCTCAGATGTTGAATTGGGATTTTGTGCCAGGGTCAAGTTTTACCCCCAGCTTACACATTGACCCCATACTCTTGGATGGGGAGCGAAGGCCCTATTTGGACCTGATTCCCTCTATAATATAGATACCACCAACACTGCTGTTCTGGCTGGTACGGCACTCCCTCTGCCCTATACTACCATTGTGGCTTCTTCTTTTGTCTCCTGGTGGTCCAATGCAGACATTGGCTTCAACTCATTTCTGTCTCCTTTCCCTCACACAATCCCCAACTGGGATTTGCTGTGTCCAACTGTAGCCCTGAGAGATCCCATTTACCAGAGTTTGTTCTTACTGGCATCCTACAGGTAGGTGCATGCTTCTATCAATTCTCTGTCCCAAAACCTCAGTGCCTCTAGGCTTCTGTCTGTTTCCTTGTGCAGTGCTGGTCACGGAAGAGGTTACTGATGTTTTTCTTTGGTCATCTTGATCACTACTTGATCTGATACTTTTTTAGATATTTTCTTGGGTTAATGTGGTTTCCTGTAGGACCTTCTACATCACCATCTTAACTAGAAGTCTCACCAACTGAGCTTTAAATTATATAATGGTAATCCTAGAAATTTATTTCATAGGGAAATATTCAAATGTCTTACAGAACATTTGCCTTATACAGTGAAATTAACAAATAAACATAAAAATATTTTGCCTAACCTAGACACATATAAATGTCTTGTAACATATAAAAATCAAATCTTATTGACTGCATTAAGGAATAAGGAAGGACATTGCTTATTGACTTCCTTTACAAGTATGACCTTCACTTTACCACCATCCACAATCACACCAGTAATCCTTTCCCCTTCAAATATATGGTAATAAAGATCACTGTAAAGAATTTTGTAAATTAAAAAAAAAAGGGGGAAGGAAAAAGAAATCTGAAGAAATAGAACCATAAACAAAGAGACTACAGGTCCCAACCCAATGTTTCTTTTTGGCGACCTACTCCTGGCTTTTTCTTTTTTAGTGTAATTTAGGTACATAAAGTTTTGCCTTATTATTGTCTCCTGATTAAATAAGCCCTCATAATAATTACATAGTTAAATTTTAGAACAGAACCATCTTCCTAAATGTTCAAAGGCATGTAGGAGTGGTCAAGTGGTTTGGGATGACTGGGGCTGGGGGCCTCGAAGAAGGAGGCATCTTGATGGGAGTGGCCAATTCTAGAGAAGGAGTTTAGGGAGGATCTTGAAGCTAGGGTGACTGGGGGTGGGTCCTGGGAGAATCCCTATGGGAGTGTCTAAGAGATTGAATGGGGTCATCCAAATAGACAATGGAGGGCTAGGCTTAATTAGGATAAGAAAGAATTGGGAGATTGGGCCTAGATAAGCAATGGCCAGTTGAGCAGATTATAGCCTCAGGCAACCACTTGAGATTTCTTTGACCTAGCGAGTTCAAGGAAATTTTAAGGGTTTTCAGAGGCCTGTAGACCAACAGGACCCAAATTCTTTTTGAGGTGAGGGGCAAAGGTCTTGGCTTGGACCCATACCCCATCAAAGTGATTTGCCCAGGGTCACACAGCTAGTAAGTGTCTGAGGCTGGATTTGAACTTCGGAAGATTAATCTTCCTAACCTCAGGCCTAGCACTTATCCATTGTGCCACCTAGCTGCCCAAACTGAAACAGAACACATCAAAGTGGGACTGGGACAGTGACTATTATTACATTGTCAGTCTGGGTGAGGCAGTCTTAAATAAGTAAAAATACACTTTAAAAACCAGTTTCAAATTAAAAGATCTCTACTTTCCAGTCCAATATACAAATAACAAAGTACCTGCAAGAACTTCTTCCAGCAGATTGAGTCCTATCCTGTTATATGAAGCATATAGAAGTTGACTTGTCTAGGGTCAAAAAACAAGTTCAGTACTCTCTCCAAGACATAATTTTATCTTTTCTAGCCTAATTATTATTCACAGTAATGCCTAACATTTTTTATGTAGGGTTTTAATGTTTCTAAAGCATTCCATTCAAATTCCAAATCCAAAACATATTAACTGTGAGACACTGGGCCACTCTGGGATCTAGTTTCCTCAACTGTAAAAGGAAATAATGATATGTAGAGTACAAGATTTATAAGGCCCAAATGAGATAATTGATGTGAACTGCTTTGCAAACCATCTATTTTGAAGTCATATGACCATTCCAGAAATCTTCAAAGGATTCTTTGTGTCCTCATTTTCATGAGATCATAGATTTAGAGCTATTTAGACCTCATAAGGCCATCACCTTATCATATACATGGAGGAAGAAAAAGAAGTTCGGAAAGATCAAGTGATACACCCAGGACCACAGAGCTATTTGCTGGCAGGACTAAATAAAGAACACTGGCCTCCAAGAAAATGCTCTTTTTACTATAGTGGAGATTACTGTGTTGGTACTAAGGATGCTCTACAAAATACATTTATTCTAAGTTTCTGGAAATTATAATCATGGGATTTTAGAACTGGAAAGGACCTTAGAGATTGGCTAGTGTCCAATGCCTTCTTTCTCTAGATGAGAAAACCGAGGCCCAGGAAAGGGAAGTAACTTGCTATGATCAACAAGTAACAAAGCTTAGTTGTGAACTAGGTCTGACTCTTAATTCACGCTAATCAATTTTTTAATCAACACTGAAATGACATGAGGTAGGACTCTTCTCCTACATGTACTCCTCTAACAGGGACAGGGATATACCCTTTTTGTTAACTGATAAAGACAACTGAAAAAATTCTGCTAATGCAGAATAATGTTGGTCATCTACATAAGAGATGTGGCCACATGAAGCAAGTGGCAGAAGTGACATATGACCTTTCCAGTCTGAACCAGCTATCCATTTATCCTCAGGAACTTGAGGGTACACTCTTGACTTTGTTCTTCATATTAAATGGCTCTTTTTAAAAATGTACTACTATATAAATTCCCCGACTATTCAGAAATGTAATTCACAAAGGAATCTTGGAGGTCCCACACAGCTAACAATGCAATGCCCAAATAATGTGAAATAGTACATAAAATTATTATTGCACTTGGGGCATAATGTAAACCTAGTCTAATTATTAATTTTCTCTAACTAGGGCTTTCCCAGTCCTAATCCTCACCCAGTATGACGCAATTATATTTAAAAGAATAATTCTTGTGTATTGGTGACTAAATTCAAAGATTTTAGAGGATAGACTATCTGAAGTCAGTAAAACATGTTTTCCTTTGTATGCCCCAAATTTCTTGCACATATCATAAACTTAAATCTCTCACTCTATCTCTCTACACTTCACCAATAACTGTAATAAACTAAAGAAATAAATTTTATGGTCACTATCCCAGGCCAGGCCCTTTATTATAATTTGCTTAGACTACTAAAATAGCCTCGTAATTGGTCTTTCAGTTTCTAATCCCATCCTCTGTATTCATTCTCCACACTGCCCACAAACAACCTTTTACATCACTCTCCCACTCAAAAATTTTCAACCGCTCCTCATTACCTAAAGGACAAAAGTCCAAACTACTTAGTCTAGCATCCAAGGCCCTCTATGACCTAGCCTCAAATTAAGCTTTACAATCATATTTTGCATTACTCCCTCATACGAATTTATTTTAGAATCAAGGA